CGGCGACGATTTGTGTCGTAGATATGACTTTCTACATAATCTGAAGAGCGTAACACTGCATTGACACCACCTTGAGCATAGTTTGTGTTACTCTCATGAGGCTCATCTTTGGTGATCACTGCTACCTACTGTCCCTTGCTTTGCAACTTCCTAGAGACCCGCCACTCCACTGCCAATCAGTGAAACCATAATACTTTTGTTGAAGACGATACAGTCATACAGATACTTCCCGGATGCTTGTGTTAAGCTTTGAGGTGTCATTGACGGCGGAAACAACTCGAGAGTATCAACCACATCTGTTAGACTTGAGAGGCTTGAATACGCCACTTGACCTATGCAACACAAAGATTGAATCCATCATAAGGACTTGTAAGTTGATAATGGAGGGATAAAAATTATAATCACTTTTCCTTAGTCGTGGCCAATGAAAATTCCGACGGTCATCCATATATGTATTTTGTTGATTATAAATTATGAAGAAAATGTGAGTCTTCTTTTTTTGTTTTGAACACCTAAAATGTGAGTCTTCTATTGAGTCTTTTAACTATTGATTTTTGGCTTCTGAGTTTTCCAATGTTACATCTGAATATAATACTAATAAAGGAAGGCAATTGCAATTTGTATATATATAAAAGTTGGCGTTTGCTTGGCTATCATAATTTATTTATTTCCTCTTGTTTTGTCTTGTTTTTCTTACAAATCATTGTTTTTTATTCTTACAAGGACAACGAGTTTCTTAAAGAAAGGGATAGAAAAGAAAAAAAAAAGAAATTAATTAACAACAACTCGAGCTGGACCAATGAGGCCAAGTTGAAAGTTGGACTTAGTAATCAAGTTTTGTAAATTTGATAATACCAATTAAGTTTATACATTCATAAACAAGCTGAAGACTAACAACATAGGTTGGTGCACATAGTTAGTTACATGGATTTTGGCACTTGTTTTTCTTACAAATCATTGTTTATTTTTATTTTTACAAGGACAACGAGTTTCTTAACATAAGAAATGGATAGAGACCAAAAAAAATAAGTTTTGTAAATTTGATAATACCAATTAAGTTTATACATTCATAAACAAGCTGAAGACTAACAACATAAGTAGTTGCACATAGTTAGTTACATGGATTTTGGCACTTGTTCGTACTCTTAAGTAATTATTTGAAGATTATTTGTCAAAAGATCTAACAAAAACATCCTGTCACTTGCTACTATATGGCTACCACTTTTTTTTGATTAACCGTATATAGCTAACACTTTCTTCTATCAAAAGTAAAAAAAAAAAAAAAAAAATTGTATATCAGTCGTAGTACAACAACTTCCTGCAAACAGAAATGATGGCTACGTTCACAACAAATATTAAGCTAAATTAAGTACATAATTAACATAATAACTGTAGAATTAAAAGTGATATTGTAGCAAGAGACAATAAAAGATTGTCCGTACGAAAGTTTAAATCGCATTATTACTCTTAAGCACAAAAGCGCATGAAAGATTACGTCGAGGCTAAATGGCATGAAGAACACTATGTCAAGCCATGTAATAGTAGATGCAGACGTCGGGCATTCGAATGATTTCCTAGTTCCTACTCCAGAATGTCATATATATATACACTAATATATGCTTTACACTCTCGCCTCTCGTAATTTATTCCTCTTATCAGAACTAAAGTAAGAGTTCATAAATCACTCTTATACATGCCCCCCCCCCTCCCTAAAAAACGAACTTCTGAACATTCAATTGTAGCATAGATCATTACATAATCGTTGAAAAGATAGTAAACTTTTTCTTTTGTAAAAGAAAAGGTAGTAAATTTGTGAACTAACATATTTTATTGCCCATGAAAGACCCCAACCCGATAGTAAAATCAACCAGATTTGAATGAGAATGTCCATATAACTTTTCGATGATATTTTATACGACGCAGTTAGTAAAATTATTGGAAAAAGTTTCTCAACTACACGAAGTTTACACTAATATGGTGGAAACCATCCAATGTATAAAAATGTGTCGAAGTATATGTTAATTAATACATATCACATATACGAAGTAAATGATATTATGGTGGCAACATCACAATCGGATTTAATTGTTCTTAAGCTAAGTTAATGGGGTCAATCCGTAATTTATGAAACTTAAATAAACTTAATTGATTTTAATTATTAAAGTTAATAAAATTAATAAACTTAATAAACATAATATTTTTTTAAAACTTAATAAAATTAATAAACTTAATAAACTTAATATTTTTTGTTAAACTTAGTAAATTTATTAAACTTAATAAATTTATTAAACTTAATAAAATTATTAAACTTCATAAACTTAATAAACTTAACAAAATTAATAACTTATAAACTTAATAAGTTATTAAACTTTATATACTTAACAAACTTAATAAACTTAATGATTTATTAAGTTTAATACATCTTATTAAGTTCTTAAAAATTATTTTGTTTAATAAGCTAGAATCCTAAAACTAATAAACAAAATAATTTAATAAATTTATTAAGTTTAATAAGTTTAATAATTTAATAAATTTATTAAATTATTATGTTTATTAAGTTTGCTAAGTATATTAAGTTTAATAACTTATTAAGTTTATAAGTTATTAATTTTGTTAAGTTTATTAAGTTTATGAAGTTTAATAATTTTATTAAGTTTAATAATTTTTTAAGTTTTTTTTTAAAATATTATGTTTATTTTTTGTTAAACTTAATAAATTATTAAACTTAATAAAATTATTAAATTAATAAATTATTAAACATAATAAACTATTAAACATAATAAGCATAATATTTTAAAAAAAAAACTTAAAAAATTATTAAACTTAATAAATTATTAAACTTAATAAAATTATTAACTTCAAAAACATAATAAACTTAACAAATTTAATAACTTGTAAACTTAATAAGTTATTAAACTTAATATACTTAGCAAACTTAATAAACATAATAATTTAATAAATTTATTAAATTATTAAACTTATTAAACGTAATAAATTTATTAAATTATTTTGTTTATTAGTTTTAGGATTCTAGCTTATTAAACATAATAATTTTTAAAAACTTAATAAACTTTATAAACTTAATAAGAATTATTAAACTTAATAAGATGTATTAAACTTAATAAATCATTAAGTTTATTAAGTTTGTTAAGTATATTAAGTTTAATAACTTATTAAGTTTATAAGTTATTAAGTTTGTTAAGTTTATTAAGTTTATGAAGTTTAATAATTTTATTAAGTTTAATAAATTTATTAAGTTTAACAAAAAATATTAAGTTTATTAAGTTTCTTAATTTTATTAAGTTTTAAAAAATATTATGTTTATTAAGTTTATTAATTTTATTAACTTTAATAATTAAAATCAATTAAGTTTATTTAAGTTTCATAAATTACGGATTGACCCCATTAACTTAGCTTAAGAATAATTAAATCCGATTGTGATGTTGCCACCATAATATCATTTACTTCGTACATGTGGCATGTATTAACATATTTTTCATGTAGTTCTTGACACATTTTTATACATTGGATGTTTTTCACCATTTTAATGTAAACTTCGTGTAGCTGAGAAACTTTTTTCCAAAATTTTTTGAAAAAATAAATAAAAGGAACTTATTACAATGAAATATTGCAGAGAACTATTACTCGTCTCATTGACTCAACTCCCAGCGTTAAGAGTTTAATATGTCTAGAATTTTAAATGCGCCAGCTATATAATCGCATCTGCTTGTTTATTACTATCATCCAGTGTTTATTACTGTTTGTACTCATATATAACACCTATTAGTGGTAGTATATTATAGTGTCAAAACTATTGATAATTTCTTAAAATACAGCCAAAGAAAAAATAACTCAGTTTTTTTTTAAAAGACATAACTTACCAAAACAGTGAATAAATCAATAAAACATGAGGTTTGAAAATGCAACAAAAAAATACATGCATTTGCTCAAAAAAAACAAATACATTTTTTTGCAAAAAAAAAACAACAACAAATACATGCATTTGCTCAGAAAAAAAAACAAATAAAAATATGGTTTCAAACGAGTAGCTAAAAATAGATTAACTGCTTGCATGAAAGTTTGTAAAAGAATGCATCGGACGACGGACTAGTTATCTGACAAAAAGAAGTTACTAACCGAACAGTATACGTCATTATAGATATATTGCTGGGGCACAAAGACCAATATATTTTAATGATAAGAGAAGGAGCTTCTTTTTTTTTTTTTTTGAACAACAGAGAAGGAGCTTCTATTCTCTATTTTTGCTCTTTTTAATTACAAGAAAACTGATTTTCTTCTTTTTTCATGAAAATCTCCTAATCCCAAGAGAGTCAGTCAAGCCATCTTCTAGTTAACTACTCCTATTACTATTTACTACTCCGTTCTCAACTCTCATGCACTTACTTATCTATCATAAAAATAAAAACTAATTACACTGAATAGTCTTACCCAAGATTCCCGGACGCTGGTCACCATTTTTTTTTTTTTTTTTTTTTTTTTTGTGATAAGTGTCTAAGATTAATAGTGGTATATTTTCGGTTAAATTTTCTAACCAAGAAATTTTTTGCTTATGATGTATTTCAATTAACCAGGGGTCAAAAATATACTTAATAAACACTAGACTGACACATGAAACTTCGATACCGAAACAGCTCTAAGATCAAAGACGAATCTTTCTAAACATACACGTGATTTTTGTGTCCCCCTAGACCATCTTAGGCGGTTCATGTTTTCAAACTTTCAGTGGAAAATCCTGATTAAAGTCATTAAACTAATCCGTATCAGTAATTACCAACCAGCTTGCATCTCAGAAATATGTTAGTATCATCACATGCCAGACACAATGAATACACTTATTAATAAGCCCATATACCTGTATAATGTGACTAGCTATTATTTACACTCTTTACATAAATACTCCACTAGGTCTTGTAGTACTATTTAATAACTCCATCGAATAATTACTCATACAAACTCTTTACTTCTCTCTTTCTATGATCTCTCTCTCTCTCGTCCATCTTCCAAAGAAACAAAAAGGATGAGGAAAAAAGTAAGTAATAGTGGTGAAGAAGGAAACAATGAGTACAAGAAAGGTTTGTGGACTGTAGAAGAAGACAAGATACTCATGGATTATGTCAAAGCTCATGGCAAAGGCCATTGGAATCGTATTGCCAAAAAGACTGGTCTCTTTTCTCTCTCTACTCTCTCTCTCCTATATTTTTTTGTGTTTGGTGGGGACGAAAATTGATATCATAGATTTTCTTTTATGAATGGTTTAAAATTAAGGGTTCTAAATATTATGATCATATAGCTTTACGCCTTTATGATCATAAGTTTGATTGAATTAAGTTCCTCGTAGATTTTAATACTTCTCTGTGTAAATTAGGTTTGAAGAGATGTGGAAAGAGTTGTAGATTGAGGTGGATGAATTATCTCAGCCCAAATGTTAAAAGAGGCAATTTCACCGAGCAAGAAGAAGATCTTATCATTAGGCTCCACAAGTTGCTTGGTAATAGGTATATATATAACTTCCCTAATTGCATTTACTTCATCATAATTATACTCTCGAACTTGCTATGCAAACATGTTTTTATTCTCTAAATTTACGTAAACCGTTTATAGAAATATGATTAAAATAAGGGAACTAATTTATAGTTGATTTGTATTTAATTATAAGGTGGTCCTTGATTGCTAAAAGAGTGCCGGGTCGGACAGATAACCAAGTGAAGAATTATTGGAACACGCATCTGAGTAAGAAACTTGGAATCAAAGATCCAAAAACCAAGCCGAGCAATGGTGATTATCAGATCAATCTCACAAATCCTACTGAAACATTAGAACAAACAACTATCTCAAATATTAATGACAACAATGAGATTCAAGAAGATCGTCAAGGAAGTAACTATTTGAGTTCACATTGGGTTCATGATGATGAGTTTGAGCTGAGTTCACTCACCAACATGATGGATTTTATAGACGGACACTGCTTTTGAAGTTTGTATTTTAGCTTCGGTTTTCATTTAGTCTTGTTATCTTCAAAGCTGATCAAACATTAATACATCAACAATCTTTGATTGAAAGTTGTTAATGTGTTAGTGTATGATTGGCTAAGTCTTTTAATTAGGTTAACTTTCTTGGGTTATATATATATGCGTGAAAATTATATGCATCAGTATTTGTTATGTTTGTATCTTACTAAGCAATATATTTATATTTTCTTGTGTCAAATGTTCATATAAATAAACCTTTTAAATAGTAGTTCAATTTATAAGCTAAAATTAAAAGAAGAAGGATAATTAATGGCATGTTAGAAGTTCTACTTTTATTTATAGAATGAAAAGAAGAAAACAATATGTGGAAACTATTACATATGATTACAAGATCAATTTACTAGCTCGTTTGGTTTCAGTTACCTGATGATTTCAATCTAAGATATGTAACCATATTATTTGTGTTTCACAAGTGTTGATATAAGTTAAAATAATTATAAAGTATTCCTCTATTTCATATTAAGTGTTGAGAATTTTTTTTTCGTTATTAACTGTCGTCTTGCAATTTATTTGTCTATTAATTAAAATGTGGTTAAGTGTATAAATAATTGTATTTTTATATAGAAAATATACAAAATTAATTATTATTTTTAGATCTGTGTACATCAATTTAAAATGTCACTTATAATAAAACAGAGGGAATACTATTTAAACTCGACACACACAACCCTTCATTGCACTGGCGAACTTTAATTTACACAAAAGAAAATTAAGTACTATTCAGAAATTATATTGGTCGAATTTACATTCACAGGTCCCTTGAAAAAATCTATTAATTTGTATGAGAAAACTGCTCCCCTTCTTAATTTATGATCTTTGTCTTTTGTTTTAATATGTTCTTTTAAAGCTTGTTCCCCACCCTTCATTGATTTTAAATTATACAGTCATTTAAATAATGCATGATACTATTACATTTTGTATATGAACCATGGAGTGCATTCGAAGTAGAGGGGTTTTGATGATCTACAAAGGAACACGTTTGTTATCTATAATGGAAATGACAAGCTGAAGGTTCCCAAATTTGACCAGATCGATCGCACTTAATGTAATCAAATATGGCAGCCAGCCACATCTCCTTCCTAGACAACAGATTTGAAAATTTCAGTTCGTAACTTTGTAAAATCAAATACACAGATTCAATGGAAAATAAAAATAGTTTTTTTTTTCTTTGAAATTCTCTAGTTTAATCATGTTTTTCATTTAATGAACATTTTTGCTCATTTTAGATAATTTATGATTCTGTCATCTCACCATGTTACTTATAAATCGAAACAACTTAATAAAAAAACAAATAAGCATATAATTAAGTTCTTATATATCATTCAGAATTCATTTTTGTATTCTTAATAACTCGGGTAGATGATGGAGAAAATGAAGCTTAACTCAAACAAAGATGCAATTATTCGAGTAGCAATTAATTTAGATGGGAGATTAAGAGCAGAGAAGAGAATGATGAAGATGGTGAAGATGATGATGGTATCATTGATATGTTGGTTCAAATAGGACGAATAGGAGAGAGGCCGAACTGGAGTTCCCAAAGCTCAAAAGCTCCCTTGACAAAGTCATAATATCCTCCCTTCAATGCAAGTGTTCCTTTGACAACTCCTTCTCTCACAAATGGGTACGTTAATAGGTTTGCTAGTGACACATTCACTGCCTCCTATAATATTCAACATATTTTAATTAGAAACCAATCAACCATTGTGATAATTAACAATAATGACATTCAACAAACTTAACCCTTAATGAGTTTGTTTTGAACATAAAACACATTTTTCTGACAAAAGTTTTATAAAATATAAATCGCATTTCTGAAAACAAGTAAACACAACATTTCAATAAGATTTTGTATATGGACCTATATATGGTGGTTAGTGCATAAAGTTTAGAACTCTTTTTGTCATCTATTGAAATTTTTATCATTTTTAAGCACGATTACAAAATCAGCAAAGGTATAGCACTTTTCTGGAGATTTAAGTTGGTGAGGTAAACATTACCACTTGAAGTCAAGGGCAGGAACTAACAAAGACCACAAAAACTAACGTTTCAAACTGTTTTCTTGTGCAAAAATTTCAGTTTATGTACATTAAAAAAAAGTTTTAATAAATTGAAACTGTATATAAAGTAGTATCTCGATTTTTTTGTAACCTCGATGTGCAGGTCTCAATGTGCTAAAGACTAGTAACAAAGCAAATGCAGTTTTGACCAAATAACTTAAATAACTATATGACTGATATTAAAACGATTATCACATTCTAACGATTAATAAGATAACGAAAGAATAAAATGGAGAATAAACATACTCTTTCACATCGGCCGCATTGGTCTTCAAATGCTGAACTTTCAGCTTCTGCCAAAACTTTTGACTTTGCTGGCAAACAGATCTTGACCCAATCCTCTATGAAATCACTGCAAATTAAGCAGACATATCGTCATAACTAACAAGAAACATAATTTTCATCTGATTCATTTGCTTTTTTTTAGAGAATGTTAGCTAACTTAAAACACACATGTTATATAAAAGTTGATAAATATATAATTTATAGAAGAAAGAAAGAAAAGATTTATTACGTAGAGTTGTTTCCGTCAAGTGCAAATGACATAAGTCCCTTGATGCCACCACATGCACTGTGGCCTATTATCACAATGTTCTCCACCTACATTCATAAATTCCAATAACCTTCAGTTTATACGTATTTGTTTGTAGACACATGTATTGTTGTGATATATACACTACAACGGCCCAGCCCATCTATCTAACCCACGTTATTTTACGGCCCGTTAGATATCGCCATAGGTGGCCCTTTTACATCATATGTCTACATTTATTTTACAATATATTTTTCGCATGATACCAACAATTTTCAGAAAAGTCTCACAACAATATAAGATGGGGAGATACCTTAAGGTGCAAGACAGCGTATTCAATGGCGGCTCCAACTCCTGCATATTTGACCTGCAATTATTTTTAAAACAGAAAACTCATGCCTTATATGCCAAACACCCCTTCTTGAATAATTAGTGACGTTCATGTTGTATTTGTATAGAGTATGTATATTATGAGTTGCAAAAGTGCTGACTTGACAACCAACTAAAGTGTTCATTTTTCTTTTCTTAAAAGTCGTTGTAAAAAGTATTACCTGATCATAAGGAGGAACCATATTAGCAATGTTGCGAACCACGAAGGCATCACCAGGTTGGAAGTTTAGCACGTGTGATGGGCACACACGTGAGTCTGAACAAGCAAACACCATGTACTGCATGCACCATTTCATAGTATATATATATGAGTACTATTATCTAAATAATACATATAACCAACAATTTATTTGTTTTTCTTCTTAGTTTTTTCACCTTTGGGCTCTGCCCTTTGGCAAGCTCACCGTACAAAGCAGGATTCGTCCTGCATAAAGATTAAGAGACGGAACATGTGACATGGTTAAAAGTGTTACGATAACAAAAATATTGATAGTAAGAAGAACAAGAAGAGAGAGATTCATTACTCGTATTTCTCCTTCTTGAAGGTTACGAAGCCTTCTTTAATTCGTTCGACAGGATCGAATGATTTGCCATTCAATGAAGAGACTTTCTTAAGCTCCGCCGTGAGCTGCTCCACCTTGGCCGCAGCCACTGTCTTAAGGTCATCCTTCTCACTGCCCGTAACACGGAAAATGTTATGAAACTATAGGCAGTTAATTATACAATACCTAGTTTTCAGATCTTCCTTTTGATTAGAAAACAACTTAATAAAACCATCATTTTGCTGAGCTATTATAAGCCTCTCATATTACAAAGTCTTCTGGGTTCTATCGGTTTTCAACATCTTTAATATTAACTTACATGATAAGCTTCTTGAGAGCTTCGATAGCGTCTTCGTATGATTGGCTTCCCATGTCTTCTTAGTTCTCCCTGATATTGTTATTCATTCATCCAAACAACTTATATATATATAACAAATTCTCTTACCAGAAACAAAAGTAATTTTCTTTAATTTATCTTACCCAAAAAGTAATTAATAGCAAAGGAGAAAAGAAAGAAAAAGTAGATGCATGTTTTTTTTTTTTGTAACTGAAGTAGATGCATGCTTATGATACGATTTGTATAGTAATATATATATAAATAAAAGGAAACAATCATTTATATTTGGGTAAAGAATCAAAAGAAAATTGACTCATTAAAACATGTTAATGATTATGTCCTATTTGCAGAACTAAAATGTCCAAACAGCACCAGAACAAAATTTTAGAAATGCAAGTATATATAAAAACTTCTTACATCTGATTTCAGGTTATCAAACTAAAATATAACATATTTCTTATAATTTTGTTTTAATTTGTGATATTTATCACAACAAAACAAGGAGGACGGTGACAAGTGTTGTGCATGTATTATATGTATTATATATATATATATATTTCTTGACAACAACAAAAACCATCTATTTTATTTTATTACATATATTATATAACTTTAAAAGTAAAGTGAATATTCAAACTCAGAAAGAATTTGTAGTCAGATTAAGTTATTAAGTCATCTGGATTTAGTTCCAAAAATGTATATATTTGTAGATTATATTTGAATTTAGCCCACTTTCTATAATTTAAAAGTCAATAGATGTAATATCTAGAATATAAATTGTAAAAAGTAAAAGGAAATAAAAAAACTCACACAAAAAATATGGCGATGGACGGGATATTATTGTACAATATAACCTCGTTAAGTTAATACTCTATAAATAAATATACATTAAAAATCTCTATAAATTAATATAATTTTGTAGTCATACATTGAGTTTTTAGTTCAATTAGTATATCGATAAATTAATAATCTCTATAAATTAATAAAAAATATAGTTTTGATGTAATCCCAACATTATTAATTTATAGAGGTTTCATTGTATTAACTATTAATTATTAAATATTTTTTGGCAAAAAAAGAGTATCAAGGATTTAAAGATAACTAAAACACAACAGTTCTTTTATAGACACACCCATTCAAAAACAAAATAAACCAATGTATCTTAGCAAGCTTTGGAAATATGGTAGTTTATACCAGTAACGTTATTACAAATGAAGTAGAATACGGTCTACATAATTGATCATATAATTAGCAAATGAAAATAACAAGTGTTCAAATTTGAAGGGTTGAGTGCTTTTGTGGAATGGTGACTTCTCCATTTTAATGGTAGATTTGCTTTAAGATTATGAGTTTTTTTTTTCCATTACGTCACGTTAAAGAGAAAACAATGCACGGATTGTTTATACTTATTGAGAAAAAAAGAAAAGCAAAGAAAAGAAACACGAGTATGTTCCAACAATTTTGGAAGTTTGGCGAAGGTACTTTACACGTAGATTCACACTAGCTAACCTCTGTCTTACGTGATTGGCCAACAAATGAACAAGCATGTTTTGCTCAATAAAAAAAAACAAGCATGTATGTAAACAGAAACCGAATGAATGTATAATATGTATATAATATACCCAATTGGTGGTGATTGCCGATGTAGGTGCCAAAGCAGAACCAGAAGAGGAAGATGAGTAATAGATGATGACGGAGGGAGGAAGAGAGTAAGGGTATTTATAATACAAAGAGCACAAAGTTACCGTAAAGATTATATGAAGTGTAAATAGTTACATAATGTGTGGATGTAATTTGAGTCTTTTGATAGATCAAATTAAAAGAAGATGGGCTTTTGGGGTCTCATGGATAATGAAAGCGAAACATGAGGTGTCTTTCTTTTCTTGTGGTAGATAAGGAGTACTACTTCTCTCATAATTTTTTTTAAAAAATAATCCTTTCCAGTTCTGATAGTGATTGTCCATTTTTTTTTTTGTCATGACGATTATGGTAGAATGTTAAAGCCTTTATTCAGTTATAGTAAGTCTGATGTCACATGTTATATATATACAAATAATTTCACTGTTAGTACAAGAAAGTGCCTCTAGATTAGTATGCCTCTTTCAATCTTATTAACCATGGTCCATAATATTCCACAATACATTACACAAATGCTGTTAATTCAACAAGTTAAAAGAAGGCTATTTTTGCCTTAGCATATCTGCGTTGGAGTTATCTCACAAATGTTATAGCCGTTAAAGGTATTAACTCGGTTTCAACTCTAGGGGATGAAGAAATGATGATAAAAAAAAAACAAGTGGTGGAAATGAAGGAAGAACTAGGCTGTGGGCTATATAGAAGATAAGATCTTATCTCCAAAACAAGAGGCTCCAGTTATATATTTCATTTCTTGATAACCTTATCTAAGTAAACGTACCACCGCTTCGTGTCTATATCTATCTTACCTGTGTGTGGCTTTTGAAGCAGTTGAGAGAGTCCTCTGTGAGTCTGATAAGAAATTAAGAGAAACTGAAACCTAAAATTAAGCACGCAGCATGGCACATGTAGAGCTTGTTTACAGAAGGTGCATGAACTAAATATGAGAAAACAAAACATCTTTTTACAAATTGTTTCCATGCACTATCAAGCATAAGTAAAGGGGATATTGTAATGTCGTACACTCTCTACATCTAACTAATATTAATATTATACAAAAAAAAGAAAATATTATACATGCAATCTTTCCTCTGGAATTTTCTCACCGCCAGGTTGATAAATAGATTAACAAAGACATCGTACACTTGACGAGCTTCTCTTTCTCTAGGGATGTGAGAAAGGAGAATAAATGGAGAATGTGTGCGAAAGGGCTTGTGTTACTATTTATATGTATATATTGTTAGAGAGATGAGGAAAATATGTCGACATTTTCATGCAACATGTCAACATTATTTACTTGACATAGAAGGCAGGCCCAGGCGAAAGAGAGTCTTGTCTTTATTTACTTGCTTCGTTGCGGGGAAAACGAACATATAGAACGAACTTTACAAAATGTTAAGACAAGGGTGTCTTTCTACGTTTGGAAATTGAGACAAGAGTAAAGTGGCATAACATAACTTTTTGGCTAACATGAAACTTTTGGTTTGCTGTCACCTCGATGTATCCTGAGACATTGAACTACTGGTCCAAATAAAATAAAAAAGGGGAAGTAATCCAGGCTACACTAATCATTATGTTTTATCATAAATTATAAGCCACTGTATCTAAAGAGTACTCGTCAAAACATCAGTCTAAGAATGAAAATTCATGAACATAACATAACTAGCTATTATTCAACTTACATCACAGCACAGGAACATAAACGATTAAATACACCGTATGCAGATATTTCTAGGGTGGGATATCAAAATTTTTTACTAAACAATTGTGTACAGTAGTAGGTTTCCGCATTAGAATGCACAAAAGGGTTAATTTTTGTGTATCTTGATTAACAAAAATCACTAGCTAGCAAAGCATTCAGTGCCTGTTAAACGATGTATACTAGAGTCAGCCAGTAGTTATGAATCATGATATATCAGCAACCTATGAATCATGATATATAGGCAAGCCCAATCTAAACATGAAGAACCAGACCTTAACAAAACCGGTATTCACAGCTGTAAACACTTTACTAGGCCTGGAATAATATCGAAACCCGAACCTGATCCGAAGAAACTGGATTGGAATGGTTTTGTATTACAGAGAAAACCCAATCGGGTTGAAATTTCTGATACATTGGACTATGGGTTCGGTTCGGTTTAAACCGATGACCGAAGTATAACGCGAAATAACCCGAACTTATATAATATACACTATGTATGTATAGACATGCGTGTTACGATTAGGTAAGTTCCAATTTTATAAACACTACTCGTGTTACGAGTTCCAAAACTTTGTGTTTGGGAGTGGAAGGCAAACGGCTAAAGAGGCATCGATTCATCTTCTTCGTATTTCGAAATCCCTACTGTAATCGCCTATTTAATCAAAGAGTTGCAGAGAGTCATGTTTCATACCCATAATCTCGACCTCACACTCTCTCCGCCATCTGCGAATTCGAGACATCAATCCCAGGTTAGCGACAAGCTTCTGATATTTTTTATTCTTCTTCTGTTATGAGTCATGAGTCCAAAGTTTCTACTGATTAGGAAGAATTTATATAGATGAATTATGAATGAGATTGAATTGAGCCTAGATTGAATCATTCAGAGAGGAGTATCATGTTTCAATTTGAATGTTTGGGGTTTGAATTATGATGAACTATACATGATATTGAATGTTTGAATGTTTGTTTGTCTTATGTAATGATTGTAATACTTAGTTATGAGTATGAATGTTTGTTAGTATTTTGCGATTGAATATAACTTGTTACTCTTCATGTTTTTTAGTATTTTTGCGATTAATATGTTCCTTTATATGATATGTTTCTTACTTGTTTCTGTCTTTACATCAGAATTAACTGGTTCAGTTTGCCAGCCATAAATGTAAGGTAAAACCTCTTGTCTTTGCTTTATTTTCTTGTCTTATCAGTTAATATGTTCTTGGTCTATAGCTCGTGATTACATTTATTTTCAAAATCATTTTGTTTGGCAGGAGTAGAAGATGGTCATGCCCTCACAAAAAGCTTTGAGGATGTGTTTGAGGATGTTCTTTTATGGTGTGTTTCAGTCTTATTATGAAACTCTTTGTCTTATTTTTCTGGTGTGTTTGAGGATGTTCTTTACGATGGATGTTGTTTTTTTCTTTCTTTTGGGATTGAACTAAGGAGTGTTGTTTTCAGATTTATTAAACTATGGAGTGTTGTTTTCTATTTTATTGACATTTTCATTTGAGTTTAATGATCATGTTTCATATCTTTTGTTTTATAAATTTGTATTTTATTTCAGTATAACCTGAACCGAAAAAATCCGAAATCGATTGATATTTGATTACTTTATGGGTTTTACAATGCAATAAAATATTAAACTATACCCGAAATGATATTACCCGAACTGACCCGTTTTAAATAAATTTTAGAATGGGACCTTTAAACCTAAACCCGAAAAACCCGACCCGAACGCCCAGACCTACTTATTACCACTAGAGTTAGAAGCTCCGGTTAAGTTCGAATCTCGGCTACTAGAGAATTAACATTCAGCATCGCCATGACAGAGGACCGACACATGACAACATATGAGTAGTCTTAATCACTTCTGTGAAGTTATGATACCTCTGTATAATTAAAAAAAGAAAAAAAAAACTTAACCAAACCGAGTTAAGCGAACACTGAATCTAACTCCCTGTTAAGTAGCCACAATCATGCTTAGTTATCACAGGCTCACAGCTATATAATATTAGCCTATGTCAGCATCACCTACCAGCTTGTTTACATGACATCATCACAAGAAACCTCTATTCCTCGCGATATCTTTACACGTGGCAAACATAAAGTATATCGGGAATTAATTAACACAAAAAAGTTTTACATGGCCAAAAACAAAAATATACATTCAAAGAAGGACCTATATGTAAATTTAATTTTATCGACTGAATCTGCTCCTTCCGGCGAAAACGCCGATCAGATCTTGCCTGTAAGGTAAATAAGTCTTTCTTCTCATATTCACTTCCCCGATGCTTGTAGACTTATACGACGCCGTCTTATGTATCCCTTTCACTGCCGGCGAAACCGAAGACACACTTCCCCCGCCGTCGCTGTGACTTCTCCTCAGAAGATCCTTGAAACGGCACCGTTTCGGTTCGCTCGTGGTCGAAACGGCTCCGTCGCTGCGGCTTCTCCTCAGAAAATCCTTGATCCGGCGGCAACGTCTCGAAGGCTTACTCTCGGAGCTATCTCCTCTCGCCGGAGATCGGATCGGGGACCAGAAACAGTAGTACCTGCTCGGGGTGAGATCGTCGGACTCCGACGATGAATGCGACTGAGACTGATCAACAGTCACTCCACCGTGGAAAAGATTCTTCGATGCGACTCGATCGGAATCGTCTTCTCTCTCCGTTGGGAAGTGGAAGAAGCTCTCCTCACGTAACGGCGACGTTTCGAACTCGAATTCAGAGTCGCCGTCATCTTTAACTGAGTAGTTACTCTGGGACTCACGGACAACTCTAACGGCCGTTTCCACGATGTTATTGTCACGGGAGACGTAGAAACTGAAGCTAGGGGTAAACGACACCGTTGAAGAAAGATCCTGCATTGTTATCTGTATTAAATTCTGTTTTCTTGACTCTGTTCATGCACTTGGACTTGCTTTTGGTATATATATATGTGTGAGAATGTGCCTGCGTTATGTATGAATGTATTTGTTTACTTGAGCATCAAGAAGAGGCGGCTTTGACAAGGAAACGTGATCTATTTCTTTGTCTTTGTTTAAGGTTAATTTATCGTTTTATTAGTATTATCATCGAATTATTTTATAAATGTTGCGTCAAGGCTGACGACTATTGGAAATAAGTGTTGTGCGGTTGTTTATCTTGTTTGGTCATTCAGATGCTAATTCTTTTTGTCTAAACTCTAAATATAAAATTCCATATGTTTTTGTTACGTAATTCAGGTTTTATAAGGATTAAAACCTCAAATCATGCTACTGCTACATTTTTTTAAAGCAGTGCTTGAGTAAAAGCAATTATGATAATGATTTCATATGCTGATTATATCAAATTTTTTTTTGCGTCGAATGTATTCCAATTCACAACTACTTTATACCATATTGTATATATTTTGTACTTATGTTATGCATTCTTTGTGTTGACCAAGTTGGGAACAAAAAACACCAGCATTGATTAGTCCACTTGTTTATATTCATCTATTCATACAACATCATTATTGAACGTTACATTGGCATGTTCTCAGTCTAAGCACAGACAAATCTTTTTTTTCTTTGTATTGAGATCTTTGGTAATATATTTCTCCGTTTTATAATAAAGAAATTCTTTCATAACTTATGTTTCTAACAAATATATGTCTAATACATCTTAAGCATTTTATACCCATGGAAATATTAATATACCATTCCTTACAAATAAAAAATTATTGTTTCTACGCATATCAAAAGTGCATTCTACCACTATAAATACATTTTTGAAATTATCGATTTCTAAATTTTTATTTAATAGTAATTTAATAAACACAATTAACTTTTTGAACTTAAAATTTCTTAATAGTAAACATCAAATATCTATCTTTGTTATTTTTTTTAGAAAGGGTTTACTAGTTATTCATTTTGTCTAAAACGTCTATCTTAACAGAATATAGAATGCTAGATGTTTTGCCAACACATGTAGACATAATTTTCTTATAAAAAAAATAAAAATCAGCATAATAAGTTATTATTTATGTTTAATAAAAATATAAATAAACATAAAATTAATTGTAATCGACAATACTGACATATTAGAAACATTTTAGAAAATATATTTATACAAATGTTTTGTTATATTCATATTTAATTATATTTTAGATCTTAATTTTAAAATTTTATAATAGAAAAATATATCGTAAGATAACAATATAATACATAATAAGTATCTTATTTTCTAAAAATATAGTCTTATTAATATAAATTTGATATTATTATAAGTTATATATAAAATTATTAAAAGCATGAAAAAAAACAAAATTACTTAAAACTATGAAGAAATTGACAAATCAACAAATTTACTTCTCGGATAATAGTATATACTTGTACATGTGAGCATAATTATTTATATGTTTTTGTTTTATCAATTAAAAACCAATATAATAAGTTATTATTTATGTTTTCAAAAAGTTTAAATCAAACATCAAATTAACTAAAAATGACAACACTTACTTATCAAAACTATTTTAGTAAATATATTTAGAAATATGTTTTTACTTGATTTATATTTAATTATAATTTTCTTTATTTTAATTTTAAAATATTGTAATAAAAATATATTTTAGAAATAACAATTTAATAAATTAGAGTACTGTTATTTTTTAAATAATATGATTTATTAATTTGTTTTATGATAAAATAATTTTTTATAATTATTAAAATATGAAAAATAAATAAAATTATCTAAAATCATGTAGAAATTGATAAATCATCAAATTTACTTAGGTTTTTTGTTCGCATGTGAGGGTATGATAAATTTACAAATATTTTAAAATAAATAAAAAATAAGTTGAAATACCATTAAAGTAAATTTCTGTTTATACAATCAAAATATTTAATAAAAATTAAATAATAAACTCGTTACATAAACAAATTTTTATCATAACATAATTTTTTTTATCATGTAACATAAACTTTTCTTTTGAAATATTTAGTTATAAATTTAGTATTAATTTTTTACATATGAAAAAGTTTGTTAATATAATAAAACTATCTTTTACTGCGTAAATAAATTTAAAACATTAATATATGCATTAATATTGTATACAATAAATATAGGAATTTATCTTTCATAAATTTTTTAAAAAATCTAATGTAAAATATTTTTTGAATAGCACAACATAAACTACTTTATACAACGAGATTATCAAATCAATAAAATTTGTTTTTAATTTGTGGTTAATTATATATTAACAAATATAATTGTTCATTGACACTAATAAAGATTTCATGACTTAATATAAATTATTTTTAGATATGATAATTATCAAATCAGTGAGATTAATTTTTAATTAATGGTCAACTATATATTAATTTGCTTTTAGTTTATGGTTAATTAATATAAAATATTCTTAGATAGAGATAATCATCCAATCAATAAAATTTGTTTTTATTTAATGTTAACTATATATCAATTTGTTTTAAATTTATAGTTAATTATATATTAATAAAGATAATTATTCATTAAGAATAATAATTAATTATTAGTTAAAATCATAAAAAATTAAAAATATGCAAAATTATCTAAAATTATGGAGAACATGACTACTAAACAAATTTATTTTTTAAATAATAGTATAGATAAATATATATTTACTCTAAATATAGATTAGATACAGTAGATTAGAATCCAATTACTTAGGATTCATTTAAATACGTTAAGTATACATTAAAATAAAATGTATATTATTATAAAAGTATATAATTATCTGAACACTATTCCAGATATTGTTGTCCATGCTATATCTTCCGAAGCACATGCGTAGAAAGACAATAAGAAAGAAATTGTAATCAACTTTTTTTTCCAACTGTAATAAAGTTGATTTTCTCAACATCATCTGTGACTTGTAAATAAACCTCTCTAATCCAACTCTAAAAAAAAAAAAAAGATAAATAAACCTCTCTAATCTGACACAAGTAAAACTATTTTGCTCCGGTTAAATGACATACAACTTTCGAATATAATTCAGTTTACATTTTTTCACCAATTTTTTTTTTCATTTATAATCTCTATATTATTATTTGAGAAGTCAGTTTCCTATGTGTCACTCTCACGTTCATTCTCACGATGGTTGATTACATTGATACCCTTAATGAGTTAAAAATAGTATTATTAATTCTTTTATTTTTAGTTTTTCCTTTTCAAAAATTTCCAAAAAGATATGTAATAAAAAAGCATTTTTTTTATAAAGTCATAAAAAACAAATTTAAAACGAAAATATATGTATATATAATATAATTTCATAAAAAAAGAAAGTTGACAAAATAGTAATAATACATTTAAAATATTTTTAAATAACATAAAAATATGTATATATAGTATAATTTCATAAAAAAGAAAAGTTCACAAAATAGTAATAATACATTTAAAAATATTTTTAAATAACATAAAATATACTTTTATAGTAATAATATAGTTTATAATTAGTATTATTGAATTTTTATTTATTTTTCATATATTTAGTTGACTATAATGTCTTTCAATTACAGAAAATAATCTAGAACTTATATTTTACTTATATAATATTATTTTCAAATACAATCACAATTTTGTGTAGTGCTTATTTTTAAGAGATTAAAAACTAAAAATAAATTTAACAATAAACATAGTTTGGTCAAAATAATTGTTCTAATGAGCTAGATATATGATATTTTATCATTATTAAAATTATTTATTTTATTAATATTAATTGTTNATATAATATTATTTTCAAATACAATCACAATTTTGTGTAGTGCTTATTTTTAAGAGATTAAAAACTAAAAATAAATTTAACAATAAACATAGTTTGGTCAAAATAATTGTTCTAATGAGCTAGATATATGATATTTTATCATTATTAAAATTATTTATTTTATTAATATTAATTGTTTTAAATTTTATGTTTTATGTTTGTTAAACTAAATATAACCATAATCAAAATATCAAAGCAAATCTGAATTCTCAATTTAAGATTATTTAAAATAAATTTCAGTTTACATTCAATAAATCTAAAGTATAAAGTTATTTAGAATTTATAAATGCATGTAACCTTTTATTGATCATATGATAACTCAAAACATGTTAACAAAAAAAAAAAATACTAACCAACTCTTACAATTTTAGTTCTTTTGTAAAATTTATATATATACATGAGACTTTAGAATATTTTCGTTATATTAATTTACGTATTTTGGAATCAGACACTTTAGTTAATTTTTAATTCATTCTAAGCACAATATATCTTAAGTTATACATAATTTTCCTAAAATATATTTACATATCTAAGACAACACCCACCATATGCGAATAATTAACTAATTAAAAATTAATATTTTTTTAAAAAATATTACAGTTGAATTCAGAGATGCAATCCAATTTATCCAAATGATAACTAAATCAACCGTAAAACAACAAAATTGACTAGATATAACATATATAAAATTACAGTATAAATAAATTAATATAATACTATTAATATAAATGATGCATACAAATTATAAATTAATTTAAAATTAAAAGTAAATAATAATCAATTATTATTATATATTTAATTTAAAAATAATTATACCCGTGCATGAGCACGGGAAAATCACCTAGTGAAATAATTATTGTGAAAGCAATTTACCTTTTTCTTAAATTCAATACTGCTTAAAATTAAAAGAATAATTAAAATTTAACAAATCGTATCGGGGTGGATTACTTGCCGGTTCCAATAGAGTTCCAGTTCAACTAATTTTGTGATTCGATCAAAACCCGGTACATAACTTTTAACCAGTTGATCGGTTTGTTATATTTCACACGGTTAAACCGTTTCTCTTAGCTACTCTGAGGCCAATTCCCCTTCTTTCTTTCTGCTAGCAAAAAAAAAAAAAAAAAACAGACGACACAAAAGCAACACAGAGGAGAAACGAGGAGGGAGAAATCTCGAACGAGGAAAAACCCGATTCTAACCTTATCTCGTGCTAACGAATTCAAATCATTTCTCCTCATCACCAGATCGATCGCAAAATCACCAATCTCCGCCGCCGCCTCCGCCACAATTGACGGCGGTGTCTACGTGTCTTTCATCAGCAGGAGAAGTCAGCTTAATAAAGCCTCTCTTCCGATTTGACTTGTGGTCAGCGTAGTTTCTCCTCTCAGATTCGCTTTTTCTTTTTTCGAATTCGTTTCGGTAACTTACTCATCGGAAGATTTTTCAGATTCATCTCTACTTAAAAAGCTTATTATTCATTTTCTCTAATCCGATTGAGATGATACATAGTGGTGAACCACGATCGTAACGGCTCCTCTCGGTTGCTCAAAGTGTTTATACATTCTCATCGTGATAACTTTTCCGATGAGCATTACGCTGGACATAGTCGTTAGTTAGTTAGTTACATTTAGATTTGTTCTTCATATTTACTGAAACTGCTCTATTTTGCGCAGATATATAATATATATTTTGGCATCGCGTGGAAGAAATGTAAAATGCAGGCGAACGGGAAGAAGCTACACACAGATTGATGATGACTATGAAAATTGCTTTAAGAAGGTGAAAAAGAATATATATATATAACTATGGGATCAGAGAAAAAGTTTCCTCTCAATGCAAAAGACTACAAGTTGCACGAAGAAATTGGAGATGGTGTTAGTGCCACTGTGTACAGAGCCTTGTGCATACCACTCAACGAAGTAGTTGCTATCAAGGTTCTTGATCTTGAAAAATGCAACAACGACCTGGTAGGGTTTTTCTTTTTCTACTAGTTCCTTCTTAGATGCAGTTGTGAATATAAATTTGGATTTTCTTTCTAGGATGGGATACGGAGAGAGGTGCAAACAATGAGTCTGATCAACCATCCAAATTTGTTACAAGCTCATTGCTCATTTACCGCTAGGCACCAGCTTTGGGTTGTGATGCCTTACATGGCTGCAGGATCTTGTCTTCATATAATAAAGTCTTCTTATCAAGATGGATTTGAGGAACCTGTTATCGCGACTTTACTCCGTGAGACTCTGAGAGCTCTTGTGTATCTTCATGCTCATGGACATATCCATAGGGATGTCAAGGTATATGGTTGCTTTTTTTCCCTTTTAGTGTAATTAACTCTTTAAAGTAATCTTCACATTGGTGGTATGTTACTTAGATGAATGTTGTTTTGATTTATTGTTGATTGATAAGGATGCGTTAATGTTTTTATTAATGCATATGGTTTCCTTTGCAGGCTGGAAACATATTATTGGACTCCAGTGGGGCCGTTAAGTTAGCAGACTTTGGAGTATCAGCTTGTATGTATGATACAGGAGATAGACAACGTTCCAGAAATACATTCGTTGGGACTCCATGCTGGTACTTTTTTCAACTTTAGAAATGCCATATTTTGTAGGTATATGTGGAAAAATCTTGGACAGAATTTCTGATTTATGCTTGTTTCTGCATAGGATGGCTCCTGAAGTCATGCAGCAGCTACATGGATATGATTTCAAGTAAGTTGATAGTCTGTAAATTCTAAACTCTGTATTTCTGCTAAAACACTGTTTCCCGCCCATATTACTTAGATGTATTGTCTGATACTTTTGTTCCCTGTCACAGAGCAGATGTTTGGTCATTTGGAATAACGGCACTTGAACTAGCACATGGCCATGCCCCATTTTCCAAGTATCCGCCAATGAAAGTAAAGCTATAATGATGCCATATCAATTGTATTGATCTTCACTGCTCTCTGGTACTCAGTTTGTGTATTTTCTATTTTCTGGTAATCATTACTGGCAGGTTTTGCTGATGACCTTACAAAATGCACCTCCTGGACTTGACTACGAGAGAGACAAAAGATTTTCAAAAGTGTGTGAGTGGTGATAATTCTTTTGTATTGTTCCAGACTCTTGTGTTTTCTTTTTACCATAACGGTTGCTTGGCCTTAATAGGCCTTCAAAGAAATGGTGGGTATATGCCTAGTCAAGGACCCAAAGAAGCGTCCAACTTCAGAAAAGCTTTTAAAGCACCCTTTCTTCAAACAAGCACGTCCACCTGATTACATGGCTAAAACAATTCTAAATGGTCTCCCTCCATTAGGTGAACGCTATAGAACGATAAAGGTCTGTGCCTCATCCCTTAAACTTATTCTGACTCTTGCTGGGAGAAAATTGTTGGAAAAGCTTGATTCATATGTGAATTCTTTCTTTCAGTCAAAGGAAGCTGATCTTCTAATGCAAAACAAGTCTGAATACGAAGTGCAGTTATCACAGGCAAGGATTAAGAAACAAAAATTCCATCTATCTGTTGACAATTTTCTGCAAATTTTCTCTAAGCTGCTAAATCTTAGCATGCGAAACGCAAATTTCTTCTCGTAGTCGAATTTGATTGTGTGTTTGAAATGTTTTTACATCTGTAATCATACTTTCTGTTTCTCTGCAGCAAGAATACATTAGGGGAATAAGCGCCTGGAATTTCAATCTCGAGGATCTAAAGAATCAGGCTGCCCTTGTAAGTTAGCAACTTTCTTGCTTAGTTTAGTATACAACGCGAGGGACTAATTTTTCTTGCCTTTAGATTTCAGATGATGATAGTTCACTTGCGGAAGAGCCTGATTTCAACCGAAAGCAATGTGAAAGACAAGATGAATCTGCTCTTTCCCCTGAAAGGGCTAGCAGCTCAGAAACAGCTCCCAGTCAGGATGTATTATTCAAAACGATTCTCTATATTCTTATCAGCCTGCTATTGGGAATCGAATCTAGGTTTCTTGAAGTTTGATCTTCTGAACGATGTTAACTCACCATGTTTTTCTTTCTTTTCTTCTTTTCAGGAAGAATTGAATGACATTCATGATTTAGAGAGTTCTTTCGCCTCTTTTCCAAGCAAACCTCTTCAAGCACTCAAGTACATATTCTCTAAATTTATAATAGCTCCTATAGAAATGGATTTTATCCCAGTCCAATTCTAAAAGCACTAGCACACATGATGTGTTTTCATTGAGCAGTATAGCAATTTGACAAACCTGCTCTATAAGTATCCCTTCTGTTTAGAATTGCAAAGCTACAACGTTCCTGTATTCTGACGAAAGAGTGAACTTCATTATATATGTGCTATGATGCAGAGGCTGCTTTGATATCGGCGAGGAAGAGGACAATGCAACTAATCCTGATTGGAAAGATGCAAACCTAATGAGTTCTGGACAACAGCTTTTAAAAAAGGCTTCCATTGGATCTCTGGCGCACACCACGAAAGAAGAGGATATTGCGGCACAAAACTCTTCTTTACCACGCCATGTCATTTCTGAACAAAAGAAATATTCGAGCGGTTCAATTACACCAGAGACCACTTTCTCTCCAAAAAGAACCTCATCCGATGCTGAGAGGTTAGCATTCTCTAACCTTACTTTAGTGTTTTAAACCTATCTTGACATGCCCCATTGACTTTAAACCTCAATGATGAGTTAATTTTAAAGGCCTCTTAACTTACTTCTGCAGGGATTTTCAACAACGTAGATATCAGACAGAGCGTAGCTACAGCGGATCGTTGTCTCGCACCAAGAGAGATACTGGTAACTAAGTAACTAACCTCCCATCTGCTCATTAGTGTACATGTAATTCTTGTAGAGTATTCAATTTGAATACAAGTTGTGCAGTGGACGAGACTTCAGAATCCCCGTATGTGGAGCACAAGGGACGGTTTAAGGTCACATCAGCAGATTTGAGTCCCAAGGTACCGACTTCGTATGTTTTTTGTTATGTATGTTGAGGCTAGTATGGTCTTTAAAGAGAGTGGTAGAAACATGAAAGAGCAATGAAACTGAAGCTGTGTTTCGGTTTTGGGTACAATTAGGGATCTACAAACTCTACATTCACACCGTTTGGTGGTGGTTCAAGTAGCCCGAGCTCCTTCAACGTGACGACCGCCTCAATCCTCTCATCACTTCACTTAATTTTGCGGCAAAACGCCATGCAACGGGTAAATTCTAAAACCATAAGGAAAAATTACCTTTTACAGTCGTTGGTTAAATGCTCTCTGTCTTGGCAGGAAGAGATTTTGAGTCTAATCAAATACGTGGAGCAAACCTCTGGTACTATAATCCTCTTCATCTACAGATTGTTTTTCTCTGGGATCTTAAACTTCCTTTTTGCTGAAGAATTAAACATTTTCTTTTCCCATTTCATAGTCAAGCAACGTGGATCACCTGAGACAAGCCTTGATGAGCCATTGCAGGTAAAAGAAGAAGAGAAATAAAAAAAATGTTTTCAAATTTACCTTACCTTACCTTACCTTCAAATCAAATAATATTCATTAACCCGAATCATATGTATTATGTAGACGCCTTCTGCAAATACGCGGGAGAAAGAACTTGAGACCCAACTCATGCTACTGCAACAAAGGTACATATATATATACCATCTCTTCTCTTTTGCTTTCACCAAAAGACCTTAGTTGCTACTAACCATGAAGTTCATTATAAAATGTTTCAAGGCAATTCTGTGTCCCAACTATCTTAACATAAAGCATTGAATTACTTGTTTTCTTTTCATCGTTGATGTCACAGCGTTTCGAGCCTAACAGAAGAAGTAAAGAAATACAAGCAGAAAAATGCGCAGGTATGTCTTCTTACATTTTCTAGCAAGACTCCCACATTAACTTCATTCACTCTTGAGATAAAATCTTATACATTCTTACACAGTGGATAAAAATGATACAATACTATGAACCTTCACTTTCTTATTATCTGCAGTCAGAGAATGAATTAGTTCAACGCATTAACACCAGAAATGATGGAGTTTCGTAACCCGTCGAGACAACAGACCACAAGCACAGGGAAGAAACTGGGGGATCTTGAGAAGCCTCAAGTTCCCTCTCAAGACCAAAGAAGAAAGAGAGATATTGTGTGCTTATATATATTATATATTTGTTGGGTGTAATTTATTTGACAGGTTCATATATAATGTGACACTACAACAATATCTGTCTTCTTATTAGCCACTTATGCGTGGTTTATGATGTTGCTATATATTACAGCGGTTGCAATAATAGTATCCTCTCATTGTTTGTTTAGTTTCGGTATGAAAAAAAAAAGAGGAATTACTTGAAATGACTCAAATTTATCTTGAAATTACTAGAATGACTCATATAAAAAAATAATTACTAGACTCTAATAAGATACACACAAAGTTACCAAAAAACCCCTAATTTAATTTGCCATCAACATAAAGGAAAAAAATAATTAAAATAGTTATAAGAAAAACTAAATAAGAAGGCTTTTGTCTTGATAAAAAAATAGAAGCTTTTGTCGGGGTCTTCTCTTGCGGCGAGATACAAAACCAAAATTGGAGAATCTCCGATCGAAAGTCGCTGTCATCCCTATCCCAATCCGACAACATCTCCTCCGTCACAGCCCCTTCTATTTCTTCATCTCCTCCATCACAGCCCTTCAATTTCAGAATCTCTGTACACATGAAAACCTTGGGAAGGTTTGTCTTCATCTATCTAATTCCAAGTTGTTTCTACATATTTTTAACATATATTACTTGATTGAATGTTTAATTTTAAAAACCCTAAATCTTAATTTCTTCCTCCTTCCACTTTAAAATCGATAGACTTGTTCTTTTGACAGTAAGTTTGGTTATGGAAGATTTTTTTATTATTGTTTTAATTATCATTACTTGATTATCTGTTTAATTTAGAAAACCCTAAATCCCAATTTCAATATTCCTTCGATTTCAAGACTGATTCTTTTCCTGTAAGTTTTCTTATGAAGATTGTTTGATGAAAGTTTGTACATTGGAAGTTTGTAAACTCATATAAACTCTATTGGAAGATTATCTACACCAGCTACGGAGAGGTACACAAATCTATGATCTGGTAACATCATCTTATAAATCAATACGGGAATCTATTTTGATCGTTTAGTCTATATGTGTAGGTTTTTAGCTCCTGGATGCATTTTTGTGCTGTGCGCATAATCGCCGAGAGCATTATGAGATATAGTTTACCTCCAGCGTCCTTGGTAAATTAAGACTTCAAGCTATCCTTTTCAATTAAATCCCTCACCCTTGTTAACTCCCTGACCAAACTACTTTCTCTTGCCAATGAGTTATTTTTCCAGGCATGTCTTATCTTCGGCTGTGAAGAGTGAAAGAAAGTACACTCCATACTTGAATGCACGTGTGATTCTACCAATAGGTATGTTAAAAGTCTTTGCTTTATCGCTCTGAGCATAGGTTACATGGAAGCTGAATGTTTGAGTCTAATTGTTTGAAATAATAGTGCAGTTTATACTGGAAAAGTGAGGAGGATGGAGGAGCTGCCATGGCTTGTTTAGCAGGTGGCTCAGAGACACATCCTTATGTCTCCTTCACAATCAACCTTGCTTGAAATTGATGAGAGATTGGTTTGATGCTTCTTCTCCATCTCAGTCTCCAGCTGTTATGTTTGTTTGTGTTCTATATATATTTTCATTTTTTTATTTTTTGTAATATATTTTGATTTTTCAAAATAAAATAAGGAAATATTAAGGTGGCACTCAAGTCACTGTAATTTTATTTTCACCGGAGTCTTTAGATTACGGTGAGTTTCTGATACTTGTGGAGGAGCAGAGGTTATACAACTTGTTACCTTCTTGCGTAATAATATTTTCTTATTTCACTATAACATTTATAAATCTAAGCTACTTCTCATCAGTCAGAACATTATAATATTCAATTATTCGTTTATACACAAAAAAAAACAAATCTAACTCTCTGACTTAATATTGTTTATATTTTTTGTTTGTAAAGTTAAGTTAGCTGTGAGTAATTTACTACCTTTTTCATTGTCAATTTCAAATAACCACTTCTTTCTTTCAAATTTTCACTTCCCACAGACGAGAGTGATGTGATCCATGATCCTGTAAGCAAAAAGGATTGACGCAATAGTTCAAACCACCATGAAAGGGACAACTTGATAAGGAAGAAAATAGGGATAAAAAGATGACGACAGTTGCGACAAATAAATTAGACCTAATTGTGGTCTTAAACCACTAGAAATAAACAAAAATCTAATTAAACCAAATTCTGACCAGACCAATTTCGTATTAATTGAATTTCGGATTAATTGAACTAAACCGGAATTCAATCCGAATTTAATTTAGATTGGTTTACTAAACCGAGAATTAACTAAACAAATCTGTCACAACGTAAACTAACAAGTCGACCGTGTCGTAATTCAACAAGTCTGTAGCATTTGTAAATCGGTGGTAGATTTACCTTAAGTCTACCATAATAAGAATCGAGTTTTCATACAAATCGGTCGTAATTCAACAAGTCTGCCATAAGAGAATAAGTCGATCGCAAAAATCTGTGGTTTCTTACAAATCTGTTGTGTCATCTGACAGACATATTTAAAAAATCGGTTTTCTTTACAAATCGAGTAAAATATAGACAAATCTATTGTGTCATCCGATAGACATATTTAAAAACTCTGTCGTGCGATAGATTTAAATAAATCTGCCGACGACCTAAAAAAAAAATTTCTTTTTTTTTTATAACTATAGCCAAGGGCAATTTTGACAAGAAAAACATTCTAATAATTCTGAAAAAAATATGAGTCATTCTAGTAATAACACCATTAATTTGAGTCATTCTAGTTTTTCTCCCAAAAAAAAATTGTGGAAGAAAAAACTGAAGAGTTCATATGACATAACTTTTTATATCGAAACAAGGTCTTTTATGAAGGTCTATCAAACTTTAAAAGAAAAAAATTCTTACTAATAATATCAGCCAAAAAGAAAACACAAAACATCTTCTCGTTTATCCTTTCATTTGGATCATAAAAATGTACTACCAAAGGCGATTCTCTATCACAGCCGCTACTATTTCCTTCAACGTCTCCTACATAAAAAAGATACACAGCAGAATCTCTTTTAAGTATCATTTGTTTTATGCAGACTTTTCCTTATTCAAGTGAACTGTTTCCAAGCAAAATGTAAAGTACCGGAGAATGATCTTTGAGACCAAGTGAGAGAACCAGAGGCTTCGAGGGAACGAAAGAACTGGAGAGAATCAAAATGTAGAGTATTGGTTTTCTGCAGACTTAAATTTTTAACCAGACAATAGAAAGAAAGAGAACAGTGGAGGAGCAAGAATCAAGAAGTGAAGGGGAGAGAGACCTTATGTGGTCAATGAGTCTTCGAGCAGTTGCTATCAGTGTTGGCTACAAGAGGCAAAATCTACTCTTAAGATTTCGCAAGTATGAACAACGTAACAATATGATTAAGATTTTATTACCTCATCACGCTTTCCGAATATCACCGAGACACTAAATGTCGGTTCAACAGTCATCCCTTCTTCCTTCCTGACAACCAAGGAAACATATCTCTATAAGAGTATAAATTAGATGTTCATAACCAAATATAATTTATTTAATTTTTAATGAAAGACCTAGCGTGCAATATAGTTCCCATGGCTCCAATCTGTGTTGCTATGACCTGAAAACAAACTTGTCTGTTTAGATTCAGAGAACTATGACTTTAACATCTCTAAGTGAAGTAAGCTTCTAAACAGAAACACAACTCACAAGTATATGATCTTCATAGCTGCAGATCACAATCTCTGTCTTGTTTCCCTTTCAAAACATTAAAACAATATTTTAAACAGTTTGCACAGATGGAAATAGAGACCAATTCATGAAAAATTCTTATTAGATTTAGATTTTTCAAATTACCTTACTTTCTAATTGAAACTTTCTATGGCGCACAGGAAAATTAGCGTCTTCCATTTTCAGGTTTTCCTCCTCTTTCTTCCTCGTGTGTATTCTTTTGAAGACTCGCAGCTCCAACGAAAAGAGAAGCGGAAACGCGTTCGTCTCCCGTTCATAAACATTAAAAGCCCAATAAAATAAGTCCACTAACATTTGATTAAAAGCCCATTAATAATTCCGTTACTTTTTTTGGTAGGTGGCGAAATATATTAATATTGACTTTAGGAAACACGAATTTGCGTAACGACTTTGATGGCACTACGAGTTTAGCTTCTCAGTTCTCACTTATGGACCAATGGACCCGACGATAACAAATAAACGAAATATAAGACTTGGTTGTAATCATATTTATCATGTGTGACAAAAAAAATAGACCCACACACTTACACAAATTTGGTTCTTTCTTTTTTTTTTTTTTTTTTTTTGTTCAAAAAGTTTGGTTCTTTCTTGCGTTGGCAATAATACTTGACGGAATAAAACTGGTGGCTCCTCGATCAAAACCACGCACTGGAGTTGTAATTAAAAACCCACCAACCAGAAAATTCCACGTAAGCACAGTTATGTACAGTCCCATTGACTAACCATCTTTGATTTCGGTATCAAAGGGAAGTACCGTTGAGATATAAGTAAAATCTAGTCCGTGACTACTCGTCATTCAACACGTGTTTGACCCTAAAAATATCGCGTTTTCCCTCTTAGCCGAGACATTCGAGCCGAGACATTCGAGCCGAGCTGTTTAACCCGATCTTGACTTTTGAAAAGAAAAAAAAACTCCAATCTTGATCATCATATCTTAATAAAAACACGTTTTTCTTTCGCTGTTAGAAGACAACATTCCATTCCATGTAATAAAAGACTGTTACGTAAATTTCCTTCAAGTCATATGATTTCTTTTTCTTTTTTTTTTGAAACTGGCTTTAAGTCATATGATTTCTTTTTAAGAAGTCATATGATATTTACCCAATAGAATTTTTAATAAACATTTTAAAAATTACAAATCACTATTAATTGATGTATTGATAATATAAAAAAAATGAATCATTTTGAAACATAAATTTTTTTTAAAATATACAACATTTTAAAATAGAGAGAATATCATTTATTCATATAAAAGGTTTAAATGATAACTGCGTATTCGATTTTTTTAGAGTTAGATTTCTTAATATTCCATCTGTTTTAAATAGATCTATATTTTAGAAGAAAATGATTTTCACAAAATACACTTTTACATTGTTAATGTATTTATTATTATTTTATTTTATTTTTGGAAAAGGCATGTATTTATTAATGTTAAATTGTAAATTTCTAAAAAAGATAGTTGTATTTTAAAATTCTATTGGTTAAAAATTATAAAAAATAGTTAATTACAAAAATAATGTATCGGTAACTTAAACTTAATAAATTTTTCTAATAAATGTTAAAACATAAAACATTTTGAAATAGAGGAATATACACTAATAACCTACAAGCTACAGTATAATGATAAATTAATCTTAACAGTAACTCGTGGTCAGAGCATATGAAAGTTGGCCCAAAAGCAGAACTGCAAAATTTTGACCGAGTAACTCCTCTGCATCTTCGTTTTTCTCGCATTCGTTAGTTGTTTTGACCCAAAGTAGGATTAGGAAGTTGACGATTACGAAACGAATACGATAATCAACCGATCTACAGTAATGCATGATTATTATATATGTTTATATTGTGAATGTATGATTAATTTAATTAATTTCCTTACAATATCATATATCCATGGGTGATGGTGGCATTTAGTTGACTTAATATGTCATCCGATAACGATTAACTTCTTTATTATAAATGAGGAAACTCATCTTTGAACAGCTTTAATCATTTCCTGAGCAGTAGATTTTGCTTTTCATTTTTGCCTTGCAGACCTTCGGAGCAACAGCTATAGATTAGCGCTTTTTTTTAAATAAAAGAAATAGTAACCCATATAATATAGTAATCATGACAATGTGTTGCACGTTAATTCACTTGCGTTAAAAATGAAGAATCATACGGTTTAAAACATGCGAACTTTGCAAATTTGATATTCTTGTCCATTCAAAAGTTATTAGTATTTTACGTTTTTTATCATCGAGATTTTAACAGTAACCCATAAAATAATAAGAGTTGGTGAAAATGTGCTGCAGCCATATTTGGCTTTAAAAAACAAGAGTCGCAAACAAAATCTTCCATAATCATGTGTATATAAATAAATAATAATATAAGAAAATTATTTCGCCATCACAAAAATTAAAACCCCTTATAATCAGAAACAATTGGTCAGAGGTTTATTTATTTACAAAATAAGAAGAAGAATAACTAGTAGGTTTTGGTATCAGAATATAATAACTATAGCAATTTATTCTCTCTCTCTTTTTTCAACTACCTATAGCAATTTATCCAAATTATAAAACATTTGATATGTTTATTGTAAGCTCGTTAACTTGCCTTAGTCCAAATAGCTGTCTTAGTATCATCTAGTTTACCTTAGTTGAATCTAATGATAGGTTTGGACAGAAACCAAGTACATGCAAAATAAGTTAAATAACCAGTCATGTAATACGGCATTC